AAGTGTTTCCTTCTTCCACTCTTTGTTCAATCATTAAACAAACCTTGATCGACAAGACTAAAAGCTTGTTGAAAACTTGAAGACAAAGTAAAATAAATTAGGACATTTTTTAAGCAATTGCACATAACATGACTTGTTGTGATGGACAACAGTCCTAATTAAGCTAAGACAGAAAATTTTAATATTTGTTATTTTTCATTCAGTAAACTTGAGTTATGCGTTAAGCGTACCACAAATGGGAATATCATGTCAGCTAAGTGTGAAAGAAGCCTTTAAATCTCTAATTACAGTTTCTCTAATCTGCAAAAAAAAAGTTCAGCACAAAATTCCTTTTGTTTTGCAAGCCCCCTGTTATGCAATCACCCAAAAGAAAAAAGATAACAAAGCCATTAAAATGAAAGTAATTAAAGGTCCAGGATTCCCATAACATTCCTGTCTATGAATAGTGTGAACTTTCAACATGAACCGTTAACAGAATAACAGATGAAAGTGTTTCCTGTACGAAACACCCGTCCCACGTTACAATTTTGTGTTCATTAATCTTGTTTTGACAACATGAAGGGCTTGGCACAGGGCTGTGGTGTGGCCACCATGTGCAAAGCGGAAAACAAGGAGCCTTATTTCATAAAATATTGTGAAATCTTTTAGAGTGTGGCCAACTTGAATCGCTCGCTCTCCAGTAATTGACTGAGGATGTTATCGTCTCCCAGAGCCAGCTGTTTGGACCGGACAGAACAGATAAATTACACACAGTGCTGTAGCGTTTTGTATTTTTCTACTGGTCATTTTTTAACATCTGCATCACTGATGACATGCAAGAAAAAAAAATGATTTGCAGAAAAGCGCAGCTAAAAGACAGGTTGCACCTTAGAGTCAGTAAATAAAGTTCATTCCAACAAACTAGTTTAACATTTCTGTTATTAAGTCTAAACTGGCCATAAAGTTTCAGAAATGTTCAGAAAAAATTATCCGAACTAAGTTATTAGAAGTCAGCAAAGTGACTATTTTTCCTTTTTACAATAGATCTTTCTCCATTCAACAGAACATACAAAAGGAAACAATTTCACCTTTTATTGTTCAAGACTCCACAGTCCATCCAACGCCTAAGTGTAGCTGAGACATGTAAGAAATCTCAGAATGTAAGTCCTTACGAGAAAAATAACTGATAATCACTAGCAATTATGCATGAAGGAGAGCGTGCTTCTATTTGATCATATTCTTCATTTCTTTGAACCCCCGACTACAGCGTTGCACCGTTCTTCATAATTTGAGGTATAAAAGATTGAAAAGGTCATCGTCACCACAGTGAATAAATTTCCTCTAAATAAATTTTAAATCCGACTTTCAGACTATCAGAAATACGTGCATAAATATTCTTAACTGCGTCTGTCGTGTCAAAAACCTTTTGTCGTAAAATTCAAACTCGCTGAACTTTCATGAGGTCATTTTGGGGTCACAGTTTAAACCCCCTATACAACAAGGTAAAGAAAATAAACCGTCAAATACACGATTTGAACAAATTCAAGATGATCCTGACAGAGTCATTTTTAGAGACTCTGATTTTTTAATCACCTCCAAATGCACTGCAAATGATTTTCTGATTACTTCTTTCAGTTAATCCTCGCTGAGTCTCATGACTGGCAAAATGTGCAAGAAAATATTATTATTTGAAAAAAGGAATATTTAGTAAAAATGCTACATGTATTGTAAAGAATAAGCACTTGTTAGTTTGCATTTTGTACTTTGAGTCCCCTTGAGAGAGACACATAACCTCCTTTTCTCATCTCGATCTTTTTCACCTTCACCTCCTGCTGATTTGTAAGAGTATCTGGAAATGAAGCCCAGAGAGTCGGTCACACCCGTCCTGAGAGCCGCAGCAGGTTAACAGGTGACCAGTCTTGTGTGATGCTGATGCTGACAGGATGTTGTTCGTGCCACGTACAAATGGAAAACAAAACAAAACAAACAAACAAACAAAAAAGACATCTTTCTGGTGTTAAACTAATTTCTGGACATTTTGAAAATCCACATAGTTGAAGTCAGGCACTTGTGCAAGAATGAACCCTTCAGCCTTTTTGTGCCAAGAAAAGGAGTGCAGCTGGTTTGTGGGAGGGAGAGTATGTAACTCAAATAAAAATAGTTTGATTGGTGTTGCAGTTTCATTAATATAGACTGCTAACATCCTGGGATTCAGGTTTGAAGACTTTGCTTCCAAAATCTTGCACATTGCATTAAGGAAATCATCATTAAGCTACCATCCAGCTCTGTTAAGGTTTAATGCAATCCAAGTTTTGCTAAAGTACGAATGGGAATCGGACAGAAGAGGGAGAGTTTATTCAGGGGAGAAGAACAGTATCCTGTCAGCAAGCTTCTCAAATACCAACTAACGTTATACTGTAAGAGCCATTCAATGTATTCAGAAATTATTCTGTGCTCCATGCATCTCATTGGCTTGCTTAATAAAATCAAGCTGCCTTTTTGCTGAAGCTAATGTCATCTGACAACAAAATAAATCTTAAATAAATCTTCCCTTGAGAAGAAGCTTTAGCAAATATTATGAGCAATGTTAAGTAGGAGGCCTGTTTCTGACTAAACTGCTTAATATCAGCTAAGAGATATTGTATCTTCTACAACTGTTTGGATTTGGGGCAAACACCGGTGTGTATTTATGAATAGTTAGGAGTCAGACAAAAATGAGTTCATCTTTTCATTAATAGACCTAACACTTACATGAAAATTGGAAATACGAAAGTTTTCATCAAACTCTTTCTTTTTTCTTTCTTTTCACCTCTGCACTCCCCACACTCGTGTCATTCTTGCGATGCCACAAAACAGTGATGATGCTTTCAGCAGTGTGAAAGTATCATCACTGACTCGGTGGGGTGTTAGTGCTTCCTCCAGCAAAGCAATTTTCTGACTCCCACTGGGACGGATATCCACAGACTTTTCTCAGTCAGAGTAAACTTTATTATAGTAAAACCTCTCTCGAGGTTATGACTGGTTGAGATGCTTAATTACAAATATTCCATTGATCAGTGTTTTGTTTTTTGTTTTTTTAAGGCAAACGAATGAAACTTTTTTTTCTAAAATCTTTGTTATGGAGCAGTTGGCATAGCCAAAAATCCCTAACATGCACTTGCCCAATTGTCAAAACTCTATATACAATTAGAACAACACTGATCTGTTGTGGCATTTATAAAGACATAGCAACAACCACAGTTATAGACGGGGGGTTTTTCCATCATTGTCTTGTACACAGAACAGCAGGATAGAAAACTCAAACCGATATGGAAGAAAATAATTTATTTCAGCAATGAGAAGCATTAAACAATTATTTTCGGGGGGATTTTTGATGGCGTTTTCTGTTGGAACAGAAGACAGGTGAAGACAAATCAGGAAGAGGAAGAGCCTGGATGACAGAACTTAGTGACAGGAGCAGGTGGAAAGAAGAGTTTGGCCACAGAGAGCGAGAGCTGTGCCCAGAGGAGGATCTGGAGAAGAATGAGTGGTGATGGTACTTGGAGTGCCACAAACATTAGTAAATGCCTAAGTAAGTGCCACTATCATCATAAAACATGTGATAAACAATGGTTTGCAATTAAGAGAAGACAGCGAGGCTGCAGATCTTCCCTCATTTTCTGCATCATCGACCAAGCCAGCAGTTAACTAAAGCATTTTTCACAGGGCGCTTCTGCTTTCACTTTCCATGTCTCACAATAAGCCAACCAATAATGATGATAATCCAAATGTTGCATTTTTAAATTAACACAAAGGCTTTGCAACGCTTCCAGAGATTTTTATGAGCAAGTTTTTTTTAAAACATCATGAAAATATTATAAAGCTTCATTTTGTGGGAGTTCAGAAAACTTTCCGTTCTTCTGATCCCCAGGTGGCTGTTTTGTGTCTTTCGTTTTATTGTCCAGTTTTGAATGTTTTTGCTTCTTCTACATAGGTAAAATTCGTCTTGCTCATTTTTAAAGGCTTTTTCTAATCCTCCACTGAGAGCTTTATGGCCCACTGTTTGATCCACAGACAACATGGTTGTCTAATCAGTATTTAATCACTTTAATCTGCTTAAAATCAATCCCTAACTAAACAGAAGGACAGTTAATATTAAGATTATAAAGCGGTTAGTGAAAGATGAATCAGATTTCAAAGACTTTTGTCCAGGTGAATCTGTTCTTTCGGATCCGTTCGCTCTTTTTAGAAAACGTAGACAACCTACGCCACCTGGTGGCAAACAGTGAGCGGTGACGATTTTAAAGCTTCTGGCTGTTAGAGGTTCTGTCCTCCCACCTTGCTCTTAAAATAAATAATGACACTTTTCTTTTACAATGTCCAGGGGGAAAGGAAAATGTCTTTGATTTTTGTACTTCACTGGGACAAAATCCATTTGCAAACAGTCAAAAACATTTTCCTTTAGGTTCATTGACTTTCTGTTTTGAAAATTGCATTTCTTTTTAATGCCTCTCCATAGTTGTAACATATTTCCGCTCAAAGCATTCACACACAGTCTATGTTGATTACAGTGCATTTAGATAAAATTTAAAGATTGTGGATTACCTCCAGTCATGATTAGGTGCATGGCCATCTCAATAAATATTAAGAAGTATTTTTATGTGAGCACTATAATTTGAAAATTGAAAACTCATTCATTCCACAGAATCACATACATTTTTATAATTGTGGTGTAAAGCAACAAAATTCAGTTTCTCATGAAAATCATGACAAACAGAAACAAATACATTTTAAAAAGGACATTTAATACATAAGATACTGTGTTGCATATGCATTCAATACTTGATTCTTTTATATGAATTACTGATGCAGCAAAGCATTTAGATGAGTTTGTGGGAATGACCTGTGTCAGATGGCTTTACTGCCCAATCAATGACTTTTTCACTTAAAGCTTCTTTAAGCACTGACTCAACCCATTTAGGAAATATTTATGAATGTTTCAAAACATTCAGTTTGACACAAAAACAGGACCAAGAAGCAAGTGAAATAAGAATATTTCAACTTTAATGACATTATTAAGAACTTTAATGGACTCGGCGTTGACATCCACTGCACTGGATACATTGGTGTTCCTTCACATTTGTAACCATTCTCCTGCAGCTCAAACCTTTATCTGTGAACAGCTGAACATCAACACAGAGTAATGCACCGATCCATTTTGGCATCCAGGCCAGCATTTCTGTAGCTTTCAAGCTACGCAATACGTGAGCGGCGCATAACCAACGAGCGCAGCAGTCATTTGTGGAGGCTGATTCTCTGGAAAGTTCACTCCAAGTTGCACCATCTCACCTGGCAATGCTAAAGGACGAGAGCATTGGAAAATGTGTTTTCTTTCCATTTCTCTTGAGATCCTCTTTTTTTCTTTTTGAGTAAAAATTAAAAAAAAAAAAAAAAAAACAAATATAGATGACGGATGAACAACAAAACTCCAGAGTAAACAGGGCGAGTGGTTCCACGGCTTTACTCCAGCACCACAGTGCCACCTGCTGCTTCCAGAGCCGCTTTGAGTTTTTCTGCTTCGTCCTTGGACACATTCGCTCGGATTTCCTGGGGAAGGGACTCCACCAGTTTCTTAGCCTGATTAAAGGTGAGAGACAGAGAGGGAAAAAAAATAAAAATAAAAAGATTTGACTGAGGCAATCTGCAACACTGATCTGGTAGAATACAAATATTGCACATTTTGTAGCTCTTCATGCAGTTCTCAAGATTTAGAATATAAAGAAACTAATAATATAAAAAGCTGCAAATTATATTAACTGAACAGCATCAGGTCACGTTAATACATAGAAAATCTGTAGTTGTAATAAACTGAGAGGTGCACATGTTGATTTAGATATTAGACAAGCATCAGCACTGAAAATGACTAAATTTTCCTGCAATTTTTTATTTTCTTTAACATTAAACCACTCTTGGTTCAGTCGTAGTGATTACATGGCTGCTTAAAAGGGGAAAACAACCAGGAGTCTGCCACTCACTTCTTATTTAATTAAGGAGCATAAACAGATTCAATTACACATGTACTGTTCATGTATGACACTCCACTGACAGATTAAATAATACAACTATCATGTTACGTATGCATTACTTTTCCAACAAAACAAATATTTGTAGCAGTCCCAACAGCCCCTTTCAAAAAAATCTGGCAATAGTTTTACTGTTCAAAAACCAATATTATCACATATCTCACCTAACTAAATATCCTAGTTCTACATATTGTTCATGCAAGCCTGCAAAATGCAACTACATCTGCGCTGTGGTCATCTACAAGAAGTTTGCTCATTTTTTACACCCAACCAAACACCAAATAATCTTTTACACGGAAATATGCAAGTGAAAACCTTCAAACAATAAAATAAAATAAACAGACATTAATTACTCTTACCTGCACCAGATTCAAGCCTTGGATGCAGTTCTTCACTTCCTTTATAAGCTTTACTTTGTCAGCTGCTTTTAACTCTGTCAGTTTTACTGTGAATTGAGTCTTTTCTTTCTTTACTGGCACCTCCTCTTCTTCTGTGGCCTGGTTTCACAAGAAGGAAAACGCACATGCAATGTCAGCCAAAATTACAACCCATATGTTAGGATTTTAAATCATCAGATCATGTTTTATGGCAACCAGAGTCAAGAGTTTGTACCTGAGCTGCAGGGACAGCAGATGCAGCCATTGCCCCCATTGGCATCATTCCAACATCTTGAATATTCAGAGTTTTCTGTAAGCGAGAATGAAAAGATCAACCCCCAAAAATGTGAGTTGGACCAAAGACTCCAGTTATCCAGGTTCAGCATAAAAAAAGGGACTTTTTCCACAAACCTTGAGGAGCTCGTTGAGGTCTGACACCTCTATCAAGGTGAGGCTGGCGATGTCACTGACCAGCTGTTGGATTTTCGGTGAGTACTCTTTGGGCGCTCCGTCGAGAGGGGGCGTGGCTAAGGCTTCGGAAAAGGCGGTCGAACTGGTTTTCAGAAGCCGGACAGAACACAGAGTCGGTGCCTGCTGCTGAAGGTGGTGCCTGAAAAACACATGACTGCATCTGGTCATTATCTGGAGACACGACACAGATCGCTGTTCACGTGGACGAAAAATAACAAGGATTCTGCAGGAGTTTAGCTTTGGGAATATCTGCCCCAAAAGTAATTCTCATTCATTTGACCAGTTGGAAATTAGATTCTAAAGGTGCTAAAATGTTGCAAGAAATAAAAAATAACAAATACATAAAAATACATGAGTCTATCACTTTTATATTTAAGGTATCATTTGAGTTACACATTTATTTCAGTATTATTATTAGAAGCTGAATCTTATGAGAATCACAAATTGATCAGAAGGCAGAAACTCAATCTTTCAGCAGATACAAAAAAACAACAAAGACAACTTCATTCTTTTTCCACAAACTTCAATGTTTGTGGAAAAAGGATCATTTCTGCACATTGAAGGTTTCTTTTTTTCAGTTTTTATATTTTCTCATTCCACTAACATAAGTTGTCTCTTAAACGTGTCCAACCAAGTCAATGAGTTAAGTCCACAATGTTTTAAAGCCAACATAAAAGCGTAATCACAATTTGTAAAGAGTGGTTCAAATCTAAAAACAAAAATACCCAAATCTCCACATAAGTCTCAATTTTTGGTTTCCTTTTGATTCAAACGGAACATTTTACTTTAGTCAAACTACTTTCATTGCTTTTTTAATTTCCCATTCATTAATTTGATCACATATTTCTGAATATACATTATTAATTTGACCTGGAATTCACATTCTTGATATACTATTTCTCTTACATTTCATTGAAACAATAATAAAAAAAAAAAAAAAAAAAAGTATATATATTTAAATGAATGAAACATTATTTAAGCATCTTTATCAAACCTACTTTTGACACCTTCATTTTAGTAATACTTACTTTTGAAATTACAATATTTTATAAAATATAAAAGGTAATTGTCATATATTCTGGATACTTTCAAATATTACCTTCATATGGTAAATAATATAAGTATCTGTGGCTCCAGATGTTGTTTTGTTGTTTTTTTTGCTTTTTTTTAAAACTTATAAATCTGAAAATATCTGGCAACCAAATTAGCAATAAATAAACTCCATAGTTGCAGTCACTGGAACTATCAGTAAATTCAACCTAATGAAGACAGAAAACGGCCCATGCATCCATGCAGGGCGGATTTTAAAGTCTGGCTGTGTTTTTACAACATCAGTAAAACAGTAACATGATGCTGCAGCTGCAGCCCAACAGAAGACACTAATCACCGGCTAACTCATCTAAAACACCTCCGCGTAACACGAAACTGCGTTTAAACCGCAGCCTAACACAGCGCGCAGTGTTTCCACGATTTTAACTAAGATAAACGCAAAATAATATGGGGTAAAAGCGGCACCAGAGACTGGCTGTCTGCCCTTGAAGAAACCCCCAGGAAGACGCAGAGATGAGCGGCGGTTCCAGGGTTACGTACCGGTGAATGTCCGCGGCGGCCCGCAAGGCGGTCCGGAGGCAGCGTCTGGTGCAGTACATGCTGGCGTTAACCGGAGCTGTGGAGCCCAAAGTCCCACTGAAACACAACAAATCGAGATGAGCACAGACAGGTCCAATTCCAGAGCCTCAACAGCACATGGCGTCCTCCCTGTGCCTGACCTACCCACAATGCATTGGATGAACTCGAACTGTTAGAAAACCTACGGGAGCCGATAAGGGACAATGCGCGCCAAGGTAATTATGGTTCTCCACACAAAATGATCAAGATTGGTATTTTAGAAGAGATGTCAGAAAGACAATATTGAGAATTCATAAGTACAAACTGGAACAAGAAGCCAGTAGCAAATGCTCTTGTTCACTTGTCCAATGAAAAAAACAAGAAAGAAACATTTTTTCAGTGTCAAAATAAAGTGGAGATCTAAGAATTTGCACTCCAGACTAGAATTTATTTATGCTCCAGTGATTATTAGTCAAAGACAACTCTTAACAAATGGGGTTCAACCTTGATTTAAAGAAATTCAGCGTCTCTACGTTTTTGCTGTTTTTTTTTTTTTTTTAAGTTTGTTCCAGATTAGAGAAGCATAATAACTGAGTACAGCTTCTCCATGTTTGGATCCGGTGCTATGGATGCAGAGAAGACCTAAGTGGTTCATAAACTCTGAGTTACAGAGGGCCAGTATAGTTGATTGACTGACTCTTTAGACAGACTTGTGAACACCGTCCCAGTAAACGCAAAGGTGAGTTTCTTTATATCTTGCAGGGTCATTAGTCCTTAAATCCTGGAAATACTTTTCAGCGTATAGAAGGCTGACTTTGTAATTGTTCAGTGAGCCCATCACTACCACTAGATTTTGGATTTTACTTTAATTTGATGGTGAATTGACATAAGTTTTTTTTTCACTAACAATTGTGATGTTATAAAATGCACTTGGGTTGTTAGAAAAAAAACTATTTTAACAACTGTCCTTTTATTAATATTTGATACAGTGTAAAAAAAAATCACAACATTTAATTTGTGGCTGAAAAAAATAACTTGAGCCAAATCAGTAATTTAAATATTTAATGTGAAACATTAAACATTGTTTTCACTTAATTAGTTGTATCACGCTCCTCAAACGCATCTTTGTATTTATATTATTTTTTGTCCTCAATTTACGCTTGTGTCCTCGCCTAACTACCATGGGGTGGAGCACAGAGTGAATCCTCTTAACCAGGTAATCTGTCAACCCATCTGCTGTCATAGCCACCCAACCACTCTCCACCAATATGTCACTTCTTAGAAAAACTCTGTAAACCACCACAAGAGAGGGTAAGATGTAACCTTTGGTATAAGAGATTAATACGTTTGAGATAAAGATTCGACCCGTTGTTCTATCTTTCTTCCAGATCATGCTGCTGTCTCCCCAGGCAGAGAGGAACTGGGAGGGTATCTGTGAGGTGCTTGAAGACGTGCTGGACGGTCAGTCTCACAAGCAGTTATTTGCTCTAGAGATCGGCTCCGGAACAGGACAGCATGTCATACGGTTTGCACTGAAGCTGCCTTTCGTTACCTGGCAGCCATCGGACATCAAAGAGGAGTGCCGAGACAGGTTTGTCTCTCACAAAAGTGTAAGTTAGTTGTTTTTTTTCCCAACAAGTCATGTAAAAAGTGAAGGGATGTGTATTCATTTTCAGCATAAAGGCATATATAGCTGCAACCCATGTGAAAACTGTGCTGCAGCCAGTCCTGCTGGATGCAAGTGAGCCCTGGGACAAATGGGCGGGTGTTTCTTGTAACTCCTGTGATGTTATTATCGCCGTTAACCTACTGCAGTACAGCTCCTTCAAAACAGCACAGGTCAGCGTCTGAAAGACCAGCTGGAAATCTGCCACTCTTGAGAAGCTCAGACATTTATAACCAATGTCCCTTTTGCATCTAATATTTTTCCAAGGGTGTAATCAGTGGAGCAGGACAGATCCTCAAACCAAATGGCCTTTTGATAACATATGGGGTATGTTGTGAACAACTTGCTATGTTACACACTTCACATCATCATCAAGTTGAACATACAGTTAAAGTCAGCTCATGATATTCAGTCATCATGGCTATAAATGTCGCAGTCATTTGGATATTTTAATGAGCCATTTGAACGGCTTCTCATCCACACAGATTGAGTAAATTTTTAAAGGGAACATCTTGTGCACAAATGTGAATTTACTTTAATCCACAGAGAGCAAAAATATGTGTTCATGTATTAATGGAAGAAAAAGACACATTTTTAATGTTTGTGTCAGTCAGAATTACCACAATAGAATAATGAGGAGCTTTATTATAGATTAATATGACTTTCTTTAAAATCAGAGGTTTATATTCACTAAGATTACAGTGCCTTGAAACAATTTGAAACATCTCAGATGGTTCACACTATAAGTACAATAAATCTAGACTAACTTAAAAATTGCTAAATTAATCCTCATTTCTTTTATTCATATATCAAAAGCTGCTTATCATCCACTGATACGACATTTATGGTTATGGTCACAATGTACAAAAACATGATCCTACAACAGGCTTTAAAAACTGACACCTTACTAAATATTTTTCAGGTCTATGCCGTTAATGGCATCATTACACCAAGCTGTAATGAAGTTCTGGATGAAGAACTGAGGAAATTGTGAGTAAAAACTGTTTCTGTTGTTTAGATGTACATGATGGAGCTGCTCAAAATGTTCAGAAACATTGTTGGAAATATGTTGGGACGTTAGATGACTTCTTTGCTATTTTATTGTGTATTTTAAGATCTTTTTGAAAGTGTGAGGAATTTACTTTTTAATTAAGGCAGAAATATCAAGCTAATTTTTATTTTGGACCAAATTAGTCTTGAATGTTCTCAAAGGTACTGTGTTCCAAAAAGTATTTATAAAACCCATTAACAAGCTGCTGAAATATTAATAAACAGCTGCCTCTACATTCGATACGTACTTCTTAAAGTTAACTGATATTGAACATCTTTACACGTTGACATGATTTAGCGGAAGGCGGATAAAAACAGATTTGATTGGTAAAAATAATATTTAAACACACAACTGTTTAAATAACAGCTGGAATAAAGCTTCATTCTGTTGGACAGGAATCCAGAGTGGGGTCTTCCAGACCTGGATGTCCTCAGACAGCAGGCTTACGGAAACGGGTTGCGTTTGGAGAGAATGGTGAGAAATAACGTGCTAAAAACTCTCAATGTGTTTCCTGTACAAACACCAAGATATATTTGGTAATACTTTATTTTATAGGGTGTGCATAAGGCTGACATGACACTGTCATAAACATGACATAAAGCCTGTCATGAAAATGATTAAGTCTTTATAAATGTCTATGACTGTTGTCATGAAGTGTTATTTGGTAAATAATGACACTTTTAAAGCAAAGCTGCTTTAAAAGAATCATGCAAAATTGGCTCCTTTAATGGACTTTTAATCCAACATTTAAAGCAACTTTGCTTTAAAAGTGTCATTATTTACCGGATGACACTCCATGAGAACAGTCAGACATTCATAGACTCCTTCATGTTCATGACAAATGTTATGTCATGTTTATAATAATGTCATGTCAGTTTTATGCAAACTCCGTCAAAAAAAGTGTCATATAGTTTATGCATGTGAAATTTTACTTTCAGGTTGAGATGGAAGACTACTACAAATGCCTCATCTTTAGGAAACTCTGAAGATTATCCCTGAAGGCAGACATTATTTAACAAATCCACCCGACAGAGGAGCACTAAAAGATCACAACCATACACTTCAGCAAATTTTGGATGGAATATTATTGTGGAAATGGTTACTTACATATAATGTTAGAAATCTGAGAACATTTTATACAGTTTAGTTTGTTTGGATGTACGTAATCTACCAACATGTAATTTCCTCCTTCAGGTCTCCGCTTCTGTTTTGTTTGCCACACCTTTATTTTATTTTTTTTGTGTTTTTTCCTTTGTTCATTCTAAATATTGTAAATAACTGAAAAAAAGTTTTTTGTATTGTCACAGGTATTTATAAAATATTAAATGCACTCTTCACATCTCATCTCTGTACCACAACTTCCTTATTTAAAATCCTTTAATTTGCATTTATTTGGATGAATCCAGATGGGAAATAAGACAAAAATCAAAGCAAGTTGACAGTAAGAATCTGAAGTTTATTAAATATACTTTTAAAATTACTTTAAAGTCAGATCAGAACAATGGAATTAAAGAAGTTCACACATGGAAACTGAAGAGATACAGAAAGTGTGATACATACATGCAGCACATTTTCATACTATGAGCATTTCCATATTTCTAAAAAAAACAAAAAAAAACCAACAAAGTACACTTGAGAAAGAGTGTGCACCTGAACTTTCTTCGCAGATCAACTACTACACCAGAATGACCATGAATTAAATCTACACTTATTTCAGCCATGTGATGTTTTACTTGGCAACAGCTGACATTTTATTTTAAAAAAGGTTGCATGTCGTGGTTAAGGTTTCCAGGCTGATTTTAGTATTTGTTGGTAGCCAACAGTAAAATGCAGTTATTGAACTATTCAACAAGGGTTAGACAACATTTCTATAGAATCCCTTTAATGCATTTAAATATAGATTTTAGAAACTATATTCAGACACTCCACTGTCCAAACTGCGCACAACAAATAAATCCCAAAATAGAAGGAACCAAATTTGTGTCCATGAGGGACACCTGGAAAACCAGATGATGGCCAGCTTTCACAACTCAAGCCCTCACTTGATCCACAGCTTCTTCATCACCAGACAGATGTTTCCTCAGTTGCTGACAAAACAGGTTGTAATATTCCACTTCCATTCCAGAAAATCTCAAGTCAACGTGCTAATGATTCATTTTAGAAAAATATGAAACAAAAGAGGCTCGTCTTGTTTTTGTCTTCTAAATATTATCATATTTTCTTATTCATGTAATCTTGAACATGACTGATTACTATTTTTGCGCTTCAGTTATTCGTTTAATAAAGAAATACTACATACACGTCAGCCGGAAGATGACAGAAAATGGGGGTTGTGGGGTTCGGGGCTCTCCGAAGCAGCTTTACCCCCATATTCCCTCACTTCATGGGGGAAGAGGCAAGGAGAGCAACAGTTCTGCAACATCATCACAACATTTCACTTTGCCACAACATCACAGCAAGGTGGAAGGTGGGAATTTAGTTTATATTTCCAAATGGAAACCTCTGAGTCCAGGAAAGGGGTGTTAAAGGAAGAGATAAGAGATGTAGTGTGTGAAACTCTGCAGAGTGGGAGCTTTCAGTCGAAGGAGATGAGCTGTGCCTCTGCACTGCCGGGAACCGCTTGAGGCACCTGCTGTTGTGCCTGGGGTTGCTGTTGCTGCTGCGGCGGGCCACCAGGAGGAGCAACCTATCAAGACGTAAACACAAAGGTAAAACAACAAAGATTAATGAAAAGACATCGTAAAACAACATGGAATTTCTGAATAGAAGTCGCAGGAGTGAGCTTTGCTAATATACCAGTCTGCAGGAATCACATATGCGATGTTAAAATGTCCTGAGAGTCCTAGGGAGAAATTACTCTACCTAAAAAGTGCACAAGTGACCTGACCAGCAGCAATCAATAGTTTTCACAAAACACTTTGACAAATCAGTTTTGGATTAGCTACAAGCATTCCATCATAAATCCAGTACTTTTCATAAAATTTTTCATAAGTGTGAAGTGGATTAATATCATAATTGGTTTTTAACATTATTTATTGGTAAAAATCCAAGTGAGTGATTAGCAACCGCATCCAAAGCTCTTTGTTCTGATGACCTCAAATAAAATCCAGTGGAATCAAATCCATGAAAAAAATAACAGACAAAAAATAAGTAAACAAATCAGGAACTTTCTACTATGAAAAGAAGAATGGCAAAAAGCCTATTTCCAAATCAGCAAAGCTGGAAGACATACCACTAAATATATGCTGCTACAATTTCAGCAAAAGGTGTTTTACAAATCAATGACACAGTTCAAACAAACTCACTTCAGAGTTTTACCTGTATAACATATCCTTTTCTTTTCATTTCTCTACTAGGCACAGCTTCAAATAAAATGCACCTCCACCCCCCAAGAAACTATAGCGTCAACATGACAAAACATTAATACTTTTGCAAAGCACAGTATAACTCTGGGCACTGCTCTGACACTTCTCTACCAGCAGATGGCGTCTCGGTAGGCTGCTCTGTCTGATCTTATCTGATCCTCTCACACAGGGAAGTGGCCATCCCAACCACTGGGACTAACCCACCATTTGTCACGAAGAAGGAACTTCCTGGTTTAAACGTTTAACAGCTTGGGTACTGTCACAGCTCTCACTCTAAACTGTGGCTCTCTAATGCTGAGTCTTTTATCCACAACATTAACATGACACCATCATGATGGACTCCATTAATATAAAACCACTTCCTCAGCAATACTGACTTCTGAAAGCACTTTAGCCGAATTAGGACTATGCGCTGGCTACATAATAAAAGAAAACTAGAAAAAAGAGAAAAATGCTATGTTTAAAAATAAAATGTAATTAATGAACATTTAGTAAAGAATACACTAATATTTAACCGACCTGCTGGTACATGGGTTGCTGTCCCGGCATGTAGGGCTGTTGTGGGGCCATGTTGGGGTCCTGCCCTGGCAACGCTGAGATCATGTTCTGCATGTTGTACGGCTGGTAACTCATGTAGGCCATCCCGTTGGTAGGAGCCGCCTGCGACATGGGGGGCATGCTTTGGGCTTGGGACACAACATTCTGCACACAACATAGAACAGAAAATCGTCATCACTTAAAACGGACCGGTTTTAGTTTTAAGTGATCAAACATTCGAATAGAGGCATTCACACCTGGTAGGCCTGAGTGGGCGTAGGCTGATAGTTGGAGTAGGGTGGGCTGGTTGTGGGCGGGGCCTGGCCTGGAGGAGGCTGTCCGTTGGTGCCTGCAGGCTGGTACATATATGCACTTACCATGTTGGGATCTGTCAAAAAGAGAAAAAAAAAAAAGGTCACACACATTAAAATGTTACAACTTCGGTGGGTTTGATTATTGACCTTAAAACACCATCATTTTCATCAAGAAATATATGCATAACAGCACTGCTGGGCTCAGAGGTCGAGATGTTCTGTGCAGCTGGTGTCAGTAGACAATTTACTGTGGTGTAATTTCAAAGAATCATGTTTTTATGAGTTAACTGGGAACAAACTGTAAACATAAGTTTTCTGGTGAAACTAGAGACCTGTGGGAGCAGGGGGCATGGCCTGGTACTGTCCCGGTGCAGCCTGCCCCGCCTGATTCATGTACATGTTGTGCATAGGCGAGCCCTCCACAGAACCAGCGGGGCTGAAGGTGCCAGGGTAGCTGGGTGGACCGCCTGACTGGTATACCACCCCTCCAGCAACATTAGGAGGCAAAGACTGCATCTGCATAACAGAATAAAAAATATTTTACAAAAAGAGGTTGTATTTGTTTGTTGGGAGAAGTGTTCTTTTATTGGACTGAAGCAATGAGTACCTGGGCGTAGGGCAGAGAGAAAGCAGGCATCTGGGCTCTCATCTGGATGGTGTGCTTCTGCTGCTCCAAACGCATCTGCCTCTCCTTCTCCTGCTCCTGGAGGCGCTGAATGGCCAGCTGTCTCTGCATCTCCAGGTACTCCTGAAGGTCAAAGAAAAGCGTTAAAATGGTAATGAATATTACAATAACACATCTGTTATTAGAGGACAAAAACGTTACCTGCTTTTTCTGCCTCATAATCTCCAACTTCTGTGCCAGCTGAATCTGTCTTTGCCTCTCTGCCTCCTCTGCAGCTCGGCGCAGCTTCTCCCTGTGTTCGTCACGGAGCGCGTTGAGGGCGGCCCGGGCGTCACGCACCTGTGCCAACTTGTCCTGCAGCCCCTCATAGTACACTGGCGACATTCAGAACATCACAGTTCAAGGACTGGACATTAGACAGAAAGACATTCACAAAGCAGAAACTCACATCGCTTTTCGTCCAGCTGGTTCAGGATGTCCAGCAGCTGAGGATGCATGTTGTTGATGGACTGGAAGAGGGACAGCACTGCGCTGTCATTGGTAATGCTGCGTCCACGCATGTGGTTGCTCTTCATGCGGTTGAGGAACGTAGTGACAGCGTTCTGCAGAGCCTTGAGAAACTGCTCGTGGTTCTCCTCTGACTCACCGTTCTGATATGGTTGCTGAGGAAGCAGCAACAGAGAAGGCATGAGCAGGGAGCTGATGCTTCAATAGAGCCAGGTCAGTTTAACGTGTGTCTGGACGTCCGTGTAAAACTTGGACATACCTCGACTATGCTGACGGGTTGGACGGGGACGTGACTTTCGACAGGTTGGCTGATTGGTGGAAGGGGCTCAGCCAGTGACACGGGGGCAGGAGCCGAGGGGGTGGGACTCTTCCGAGCGTCTTCCTGCTTCTTTTCCCAGTATGTTCTATTCAGGTAGCGCGCCAACTAGAATTAAAAAGACAATTAAAAATGAAAAAGTGGGGTAACATTCTGTGGGTTGTGAATAAGACTGTCATGACACTGTCATAAACATGACATAACTGTCATGAACATGAGTAAGTCTTCATGAATATTTATGACTGTTGTCATTAAGTGTCATTCGGTAAATCACGAGACTTTTAATGCAAAGCTGACATTATTGATAACGTCTTTGTTATTATAACTTGTCATTAGCCAAGGAATCATAATCTGACATAAATTTGTTATAAAAGTATTACTGATTAAACTTTAAAAATGATGTAGCTGTATGTTATTAAAGCTAAAGTTTAATCAGTAATACTTTCATAACACATTTATGTCGGATTATGACTTCTTGGTCAATGTCAAGTTGTCACAACGAAGACATTTTGAATAATGTCAACTTTTAATATAAAGTGTCATGATTTATCAAATGACACTTAATGACAACAGTCAAATATTCATGAAAACTCATTACATGCTCATGACAGGTGTTATGTCATGTTTATGATGGTGTCATAAGTCTTATTCACAACCCGTCAAATAAAGTGTTACCAAAA